ATTTTTCAAGCGAAAGTTTGATGATCATCTAAATTTTTTTTTTTTGTATCATTGACACTTATAAATTTACAGGTGATTATGTATTGTATTACATTATATTTCTAGAAAATTTAAGGGGTAGTTATATAATAATTTTGGATGATCTCAGGCAGTCAGATACTTATGACCGCTACTGTAATTAAGATTATAGATGAAGAATAATTGTTACGACTAAAGCCTAAAATTCGTGATTTGATTCAAGAAAGAACTGTAATATTACGATTTAGACTTTTAAATCAATATCAAGGTCTTGATGCAGTGCTTTAAGAAGTTAATAAAGCATTTAAATTATTGATTCCTCCTATACCTTTACAATGACATTGAGAAATAGCAGTACGCAATTGTACTAAATTTATGAAATTACATACTAACTTATTTAATATAATAGGATATTCTGAAGGTGATATTCATAAGCCTTGTACGCGTCCTGATTTTGCAATTGAATCACATCAATTTCAAGTTCAAATAAGAAGAACTCAATTTATATATTCTAATCAAAATTTTCAAAATATTACTGGTGAATGGATGCTAAGTAAAGAACTGAAAAAATTTAGCGAAATTGCACATATAAAGAGGGCTAAATTTATTAAAGCAGTATTAATTAACAAAAGCTCATTAGGAATTTGGCATCCAATTCCTATAACACGTGATGAAGCAGATTTTCAACAATCTGAAACTTCTTTAACAAAAATTGAAATTCTAACTATCATTAATTCTTTAATTCCATCTTTAGATGATTCAGATCAATTACGCTTTTGAAGCTTATCAAGTAAATCTCGTGATAATTTATTAAATATTCTTCAAGAAATTAGAAATATTCTGGCCGAAAATAATATTATTGCTTGTGAAGAAATTGAAAACTAATATATTTTATTATCTTTTATATACATGTATATCATTTTTAGTTTTAAATAAATTTTTTTGATAAATAATAAATAAATTAAATTAGGTTATAATTCTGGCTAAATGTATTTATAATTTTAAATTTCTATATTTAGAAGTGTATTAGAATATTCTGATTTGCATTTTCTTTATCATAAAAGGAAATAATCATCCTATCAAATTTGGTAAAATCCCAGACTGTAATAAAGAAGAAATAAGAAAATAGAGAAGAAAAGAAAATTAAAAATTAGGATTTTACTAATAATAATAAATCAATCGAATGGAGTATTTAATAATGAAGATTAACCTAAAAATAAGAATTATTAAAATTATGAGAAAATACAAGAAATGCTGAATTTGGAAAATTTAAAAGAAAATATATTATAATGAAACTAGAAAAAATTATTATTAATAAGAATTTAGAAAGATAATGACACTAAAATAATACAATAAAATTGTCAAAAAATAAAATTAAGGAATCAGACAACTTGAATTAAACTAAGATAAATTGAATGAATGAAAATTAAATTTTTAGACAAATAAAATAATTTGTAAAACAAATCCTCTTGAAGATGAGTGGCAAAAACAGTTCAGGAAGGTACAGCTTTTGTTGAAGCTATCAAACTCATAAAATGTCATACATTTATAAATTATAGGTTTTGATGCTTATAATCTCAAATTTAGGATTTTTTTTCTAATTTGGCCTTAAGTTTATCTGTAGTAATAAAATGATTGTATTTTAGAATTTTTCTGATATAGTAGCATTAGTTTATAAATAATTTTCTTAGATAATCAGAAGAATATCATTAATATTAATAATTTTATATATTAAACTAACATATAATTTATATGTATGTAAAAGAATACATAATTATTCATAAATTTTCTTTATATTAGTCTTAGAAAAACTTAATAGAGTTTTATTAAATTTCAAGAGAGTTTAATATATTTTCAATTAAAAAATTAAAATAAAAATCTTATTTTTTTAACTTATTTTTTATCTTATAATTTTAACACTCAATTAATCATATAAATAATGACTTATATTAAAAATGTAATTATGTTTTAATCTAAAATAATTGTGATATTTTTATCATCATTTTTTTCATTGAAGATTATAATAGAATTATTAATCTAATTTACTGAGGGTTGAATATATCTTGTAATATATAATAAAATTATTTATTTAACTCATTAATTATTAATTTATTTTATAAATTATAAAAAAGTAAATTTAAATATTGCATCTAACTATTGCACTTATAAAAATCACACATTAATAATAATAATAAAAAATTTTACTTAAAAAATAATAAATTGAGTTCTTCTTATTTGAACTCGAAATCGACATGATTCAATTGCAAAATCAAGACGCGTATTAGGCTTATGAATATCACCTTTAGAATATCCTATTGTATTAAATAAATTAGTACGTAATTTCATAAATTTAGTACAATTGCGTGCTGCTATTTTCCAATGTTGTTGTAAAGGTATAGGAGGAATCAATGACTTAAGTGCTTTATTAACTTCTTTGAGCATTGCATTAAGACCTTGATGTTGATTCGGAAGTCTAAATCGTTATATTACAGTTCTTTCTTGAATCAAATTACGAATTTTAGACTTTAGTCATAACAATTATTCTTCATCCATAATCTTAATTAATCGGTAAATCGGATGTTGTCTGGCAGACTAAATGGGTGCAAACATTCGTCTAGCTGCACCTTTTAATAAAGGCTTATTTATACGAACACCGATACGAAAATTAATAATTGCTTGTAAGTAATAAAAAATTTGTTCATATTTTAGTTGAAATATAAGATTAGTTTGATTTTGGGTCTATGTAAGATAATCATCAACAGAAAGAAATTCTTCGTAAATAACATATGGCTACATTAATTAAGAAGCTATTGTGTGTCTATATATGTTACATATTGAATCCCAAGATTTATGATGATCTGCATATTTTTTAAAAAAACGAAGTTGATTCTCAGTTCGATATCCTTGACATTGAGCAAAATATTTCATGTCAATATCCCAATTCAGTTTAACAAATGCCTTTAACATGTTTATTTCTTCATGAAAAGCATCTGGAACTAATATAAGCCAAGGGAAGTCTTTTTTAATTTTCTGTATATAACTATATGGTATTCTATCATAAACAACTATAACCTACTTATGATCACCTTGTTTAATACCAGATATCTCCTCAATATGTTCAAGAACCTTCTGTATATTGGCAATTGAATTCGGATTAATGCCTATTGGATCGGGAATAAACATTTGTGGTATGTTGACTTTACTTTCTAAATCTGATCATTATATATCATTAGAGTTTGTAGTAAAATTTTAGTTATTTAATTCATAAATATAAGGAAGGATGACCAAGGGTTTTTCGTTAGCATTTATGATCTCAATTAGCTCATTAGATTGTTGATTCATTTCAGCCATTATTGGTAATTTGGCATTGCACATAGGACAATTTCGTTTCTTATTGTCAATATTAGCGGTTTAACAAGTATTGCATTTTTTCATAAACCCTAGTTTGCTTTGGTAATGTACTGACTCATCAATTATATTTTTTTCTTAACTCCTTTCAATACAAAGTTTTTCCAATATAGTTGTAAGGTATTGACAAGTTCTTTGTGAATTTCATTTTTTATGTCTGAAGTTAAACATAATAAATCTTCATATTGTTTTTGGGTAAGCTCAGAATGTAACCAAGGATTAGTATTAATTTGAATATTATTATATTAATTATGACAAAATGCAATGAAACTTGTAACTGTATGAAATATAACCATATTATGCCCACAATCCAGATAGTTCTTTTGGCCTTTTTGCTCATTATCAAAAGCTAAGAATAAGAAACCTTTAAGAAGTGATTGCTGTTCAATAGCTAAACTTTCTAATCAATTAGTAAATTTTGTATAACTACCAGAACTAATAATATGGTTGTCGATATCAATGATAGTTTTGGATCTTGCTAATGAATATTTGATCGCAGAAGTAGCAAGATTAATAGAAGAAACATACTTTAAGTTCCTTGTTCCATAAATAGCATCAACTGCCACTACGCATTTAAAAAGCTTTTCGTTCTCAAGCTGATCACCATTTTTATTACATATAAAAGTTTCTATAAACTTTACGATAACGGGATTTCGTTTAGAAAGTCAGTCAGAAACAGAATAACTTAAAAGACTATCTAAACTAAATTATTTCCAATTGTCTATTAAATTAATAATATCATTATAAAAATTTTCACGTTCTTTTTTAGAAATTTCAACTACAGAATCAATTCTTGCTCTTTAATCATCAAATTGACTATTCCATCTTCTTTCTAATTCTTCATTTTCAGATTCTAGTTGAACAATCTTTCGCTCATATTCCTTCATAAGTTCAACATATTTTATTCGTTAAGCTTCAGAATTAGTTAAAGATTTCCTTGTATTTATTAACTCTAGTATAAGACTTTCATTATCTTGTATGATATTTCTATCTTCAACCGTTCTAACTTCAACTGTTCTTAATCTTTTTCGTTGACTATTTTCTTCAGAGTTATTTTCCGTTATAAATTTATTAAGTAAAGTATCATTAACAACAATTTGATTATAATGCTTTTCAAAAATTGAATAATTTTCTAAAGAATTGCATAACAAAGATAGTTCAGGAAGATACTTAGCAAATGTATTTATTCAGTCCGCTACTGCCTTTGCTGATGCATTCCTTCACTTTTGGTTCTCTTTGAATTTACATGGTACTAAGCTTACTAAATATTTAGTGAAAAACCCTTCAAATATGCATAGTAATTCTTTAGCAGTCGTCATTCTAAAGGTTAATTTTAGGAAATTTCAAGTTAATATTACGCTTTATATTCTTAAGTAACCCTTTGTAGATGAAAGCGGATTATAAAAGCATATATTTGAAAGAGTATATTTGTATATTTATTATAATTGCATTATATTTTTTTTTGCCGTTTGGATCGGTAAAAGTGTTACAATTATTTTAATTAATAACCAATTAAATTTTAGAAACGTGACTGCTGATTATTCTAGATTCAGTTTCCATTTTTGGTAAAATCTCAGACTGTATTGTATCAAAAGTTGATTTAAACAGAAGTTTAGCGAAATTGTATTCTTTAAGGATATCATGTTTAGTGAAAATCAATGCTAGGTAAGCATTCAAGAGTTTGGTAAAGGCTTTTCTTAGGCATTTAAGTAACGTTATTGATCGAATGTTGTTCAAATCAAATTTTCAAGATTTTGATTTCAGAATGGAAAAACAAATGCCATATTTCATCTTATAGGGATTGATAAAATACGAAGACAATTACAAATAATATACTAAAGTACTTTTTTTCCTAAGGGTCTAAGGTGTTTGAGTATTTTGTTGAAAATCTTCAAAAGGCTAGGTATCTTATTATTAGAGAGCTGATTTATGATTTGATACCATTCGTTTGCTAATGGAATGGATGTCAGATGGTTGTAAATTAACGAATTAATATTTGCTATTGGTTGATAAGTTGAGAGCCATTTGTCTGAAATTGATTTGTTTTTGTAGGTTGTGCCTGCTACCTGTTGAAAGTGTTAAGCAACTTTCTTATAGACATTCACTTCATCAGTAAGTAAAGTAGGCATGAAGCTATTTTTGTCAAGATATCTGTTAAGAATTATGAGTTTTCTTTTTTTATTTAGAACAGAATCTATCATTTTTTTAGATTAGTTTTATAATCATCTATTTTAACTTGGAGTGCTTGTTATATATTAGAAAGTTTAAATTCATGTTCTTTAAGTTTAGCCTTCATTTGTAATGACATGAGTAGCAGGTGTATATCAAGTAAAATAGATCTGATATACTTATTATTAGGAAAGGGTCTTATTGAAATAACTTATAGAGAACAATTATATGCAATTTCTAAAATTTTTTTATGAAGGTTCAACCATTTAAGAGAGACCAAGTTGTTTTTTAAACATTTGTGTAATGCTTTGAAAAATTTCTGTAAAATCTTGATGTTGGCATATAATGTGAACAAGATGACAGGTTTTTTTGAAATGTTTTGAACTTTAGATTTGATGACAGGTATGTATTTGTAAAGAAATTAGTGTCTCTAGTTTAGTTGGCAATAACTGAGCTCCTATTGTAAATTACACTGCAATAGCCACAGGTTCAAGTCTCAGTTGAGGCATAAAACTAGATAATTTTCATAAGAATTTCATATGTAACTGAATATGTGAGTATATATACTAATATGTGTTAGAAACTGGTTGATCAACCTGTCGATCGATGTTAATCATACCTAAATACTGAAATTGCAAAATAAGTGAATATAAATGAAGCCAAGGATCAACAGAAATTTGATCTTTGCTGAAAGGCCTGTAATGGATACTATCTCACGTTTTCAATTTCAGAGGCCTTTACACAAAGTAAGAAAATGATTAACCAATAATTAGTAAATTGAGTGATATCTCAAGATACCTTTGAGGTGATTATGATTGATAATAGACTGTATTGCACTGTTGCAGCAACCATCCAATCGAGCTATCATTTGGGATAGAGGCTGAGTTCAATTCCTGAATAAATTTGATGATATGGGTATGACAGCTACCTACCTTTCTGAGATTCTATAAAGATGATAATATCTAAGCCTTTCTGATCATGTATAAAAATATCCTGATACTGGGTAAAGGTAATAGCAATTCTGATTGGTGTTGGTAAAGATAGGAAAAATAATTGATTAAAAGTACCTGTGGCTGAAAGTGATTCTTCTATCCAAATTTGACAGTGATTCTAAAGTCTAGTAACCCTAAGGGTTCTGCTTCTAGGAGGTCAGCTGGGTGGTAATCCTTAGACTAGTATATTGATGGAATTAAAGCTGATAATTGAGTCAGTCAAGATTTTTCCAGTAATTGTATTGACATTAGTAAGGATTCACATAACTTGTATATGTTGTTCCTTCATCATTGACCTCTCTAGTATATCAAATACTATAAAAAAAAGATAGATATGTATTTATTTGCAGTCATAATTAAGGTATCTTGAAATAGATCTTAGTATTTGTTTAGAGTGATTTGAGATTAAATTGTCAAAGAAAAAATACTTTTAATAGTACAATTATTTATGGAATGGTCAAGTTTGTCTCTAAATTGTGATCATTTTTTTGCATTCATCTTATTAAAATTGAATGATGATTTAGTAAGACAATTGCGACTGTTGGTAAAAAATTAAAATATTTAACATTGGTAATGAAATAATCAAAAATATGTGTATCAACAGGCAGAACATTGATATCAAGCAAATTAAACATCAGTTTAGGAATTATTCAGATATAATCTATATAAGAAGATGACTGATTATGATAAAAAGTAGTAAACTATGAATGATTGGTATTGTGTAAGACTGTAAATGAATTAAAGAGGTTATAATGATTTAATAAGTTGAAAAAAGAAATTGTTCAAGGTAAATTATTCTTTATGCAATCGATATCTACATTGAAATTATCAAGAAGGATAATATGGTAATCATTTTTGATGACATTATCGAGCAGATGTATAACATATATCAAAACTTAATGGGAAATTTTATCTTTGGATTTTTCTGAAAGGACGTATATGTTAATAATGAGCAATTTTTGTTTATTTAGAAATTGATGTTTTGTATAGATAACTCTATTATATTTGGAATCATATTAAAAATGTATTTGGAAAGTTAAAGATTGAAAGAGAGACTGATACTAAAACTAATAGATTAGTTATCACAGTTCTACTAAAAAAGGTTGATAATCAGAAAACGATCGATTAAAAATAAGAATATTAATATGTTTAAAGTTGATTTCTTGTAGAGTTAAAATATCATAATGATGTGTAGTGTAAAGCAAAAAGAGAATCTTTTGTTTGGTAGATTCATTAAGTCCTCTAACATATTGTGATGTGATGGATAATTTTTTAGTTTTAATGGAATTGAAAATATTATAAGGATTATTTGAAATATCTGTAGGGACAGTAATCATAATAATAATAAAATTATTGAAGGAAGTTGCTGATGCAGCATTTAGTTGCTTTGTCAATGTCTTCACTTCATTTAAAGGTTTAAAAATTTGCATATCATATTGGTTAAGAAGATTCTTGTTGACAAGTACAGTTTGGAAATCATGACAAGTTTTAAGTAATTTGTTAAGTAATAGAGTAAATTCTGATATATGTTGTTATTATTTCTGACAAATGAGAACTAGTTGTTTATTTTTTTATTTCTGCAAGTGAGTAGTGCAAAGATTAGTGTTAATATGTAGAGATTTTTGATCTACTTCAGTAGCAGATTCTGGTAAATTATTATTAAATTCATCTGCTTTAGTGAAAGTAATAACTTTGATGTGAAAGGCTTTTCTATGACAGTTAAGCATTGTTATGAAAACTTAAATTCAACCCAAAGATTAGAGAGTATATTATCAATAGATGTAAGTTGAAAAGTTACAAATTGTTTGAAATCTGGGTTGTGAATCAAGTCACCTTTTGCTGTACTGTTGTTATTTAAGTTTGAGGTAAGACAGACTTCTTGTTCTATAAAATTATCTATAGGTTCATCTGCTTAATGCAACTTTGGTTTGATATTAAAAGAGTTGGAAAAGAAAAATTTAGAAATAGACTTAGGCAAAAGAAGTAGAAATAGTCTTCTCTTAAGAGTATCTTGGGAGTTAGCAGTTTATTGTGAAGTTTTAATCACGTTAGCAAAAGTAATATTATCATGAATAGCACTTTTATAGAGTTATATTTAAGTGCGATATAATTGTTAAATTGAGTAGGTTGAAATCTCTAGTACAGATTCTGCATGCTATGATCTTTAGGTGTCTGATGAAATTTTGGATAAGAAGAGGCATTATGATGTGCTAATGAATAAATAACACAAAGTTTAACTTTTAGATCAGTCCATTCAAGTTTTTTGTTATTTAAGATCAAATTCTTGATATTTATAACAGTCTTAGTGTCTTCCTTATTAAGAAAATAAAAGAAAATATGTTGTAAATAATTGTAATTAGAGTGCACTCTAAGAATGATCCAGGTAGTACAGAGACTATATTTTAATATCTTAAAGATCACGAGTATGATGTTTCGTGAAAAGTTAGTGAGTTTGACTGAAAATGCAGAATGAGCTTATATATTGTCCTTAGAGAAACTGCAAGGATAGTAATGAATCATATCATTTAAGAGGTAGATTCTGTCACCTTTTTTAGTTCTTTATAGTTTGCTTTCTTGTCAAAAGTGATTGTAGCTCTTGCTAAAGGTTTTTAGTTTTTATTGTAAAATGGACGATATTTTCAAATTTGAAAAATAATTTTCATAATCTAGTTTTAATAACGTCTAATGGAATTTTAGTAACTATGATTGATCAATCTGGTATATAAGAGGTAGATTTTTTTATGTCTAACAGCTAGAACGTGATATTATCCATATTAGAAAATTTGAGTATATAGAATGCATCACATTCAGATTTATCAATAAAAGCAACTTTGATAATTGATTGATTTTGATCAATAGGATGCTTTTCTTGTAGCATTGATAAATGAGTTGTATTTATTATAACACAGTTCAGTAATCTTTAAAATCTTCAGTTGGAGTTCGGTCTAGAAAATTTTTTCATTAGAATATATGCAAAAAATTTGACAATCTGAGTTGAAGGTGCTTTAAAGTTGAGGTTTAAAGTATCTAAAATATTTTTTAACACGTCAAAGGACTCATTGATACTCATATTTAGTTTTAATGCAGTTGTTTCAAGTGTTAGTGTAATAGTTTCAGAACTTTCCCTTTATCAATGTTGTTAGTTGAGCTTTTCTTAACAGGATTGATTTCTATAGTGTTAATGTCTTTTGCAAGGATAGATATATTAATAATAGCTAGTGGCTCTACAATAAGGTCTGAGTCAGAAGTTTGGATTGTATTTTGTTTTTTTGTTAATTATTTATTAGAGACTGGTGATGCAGAGTGGCTGCAGTTAGTATTTTTTCTTCTAATATTTTTTGGCATTTTTTGTGAATTTAATGGATTGGTAAAAAGAGTTTTTTATTTTATCTATATTTTACATTTTTTTTTTTTAAAGATGCGGTAGATTCACAATACTTTATTGAAAATTAGTAAATTATACAAAATAAAATATAAAGTATAAAGTAAATTATATAAAATTACATTTTAAAAAATTACAAAATCTCAGACTAACTAATCTATGACTAATTAAAATAAGACTTATGAAGTACCTCCCAAAATTAATTTTAACCTAAGTTAAGAATATTATTTTTTAGAATTAACAAACAAAAAATAAAACAAAAGAAAAAAAAAAACAATTTTATGCTATATTGAAAAGAAGTTATTTATGCCTAAAATGGTTCTATAAAAGAAAAGGTGATAGTTATTTAATTAACTAATTGACTGGAATGGAAAATGTGAAAAGATCAAAAATCTTATCACATTTATGAGAATAGTAGTTACAGGATAGCTGTAATGGTATTGGTGATAAACTCTTCTAACTAACCAATGATAATGATTGTAAGAGACTATAAAAATCTTGAAGAAGATGATTTAGTTGATCAAATATAATATGTTTAGCTGAATAATATTCGCCATCTAAATCTGAAGGGAGAACGGTGTCTACTATAAGAAAAACCTTTATCAACGTATATTTTAAAATATTTAAACATTTCTTTCATAAGATACCATATCTTGTGTAATATACTAAAAATAAGAGTAGTATCAAAGACGGATATTTCAGTTAGTAGTAGAAGTTCAAATTCTAAATCGTCATCAGAATCTGAGAAAGAATTTTCATTATTAATCAAATTATCAGTTTTAACTCTATAATATTCTAGGTTAGACCATTCCTTAATTTGAGTATAGGATCTTCTAAAATGGTAAGGACTTGAACAAATTGAGCAAATTTTTGATCAGGTGAAAGGATGAATAGTTTTTGATTGTTAAGAGTGATATTCTATTTCATAAAATAATTAAGATCATCACATGATTCAAAGCGTAAAAATACGTGATTTATTTTTGATTTCTTAAATTTACTAATAGGCATATACCAATATTTTGCTTTAAAGGATTAGAGCATAGGTTCAATATCTCAATCAGTTGAGCTAATTAGAAGATTTGAAACTTTTGTAATAAAAGAGTGATATTTAATCAATTCTTCATTAGGAATAATATAAGGTATTATTTGTAGGTAATTATCAAAAAAGCAAAAATCCCACATAGAGTCTAATTCTGAGAGCTGTTCCTGTTTACCAGATAAGTAAACAAGTGTATTGTAATAAGAAGGTTTTTGTTTAATTATTATTCGTTGAACAATACTATATCTTGATACTATTGTTTTAATTATATATTCTGAAGTTCTTGGTAAAATATTAATAAAATGATAAGCCTTTATATTATTTGTGATGGGATAACTAAGTTAGGTATATATGATATAGAGCTGTATTATTGTAGATCATCCAATTTAGTATTGTTTAATAGGAGGCTGTGTTATTGTAAATCTTCTGATTTAGTATTGATTGACAAGGAGTTTTGTTGTTGTGAATTACCAAATCAAGTAAAATTATATGAGCCTAATAATCTGTGATATGAGTAAGGTGTAACAGGATTCTGTTTACTATAATTTGCTTTTAAAGTATTATCTAAGAAGGAAAATATGAATGGAAGAGAAGATAAAGCTGAGAAGGAGAAAGAAGCAGAAGCAGTATTTTTTGTAATATTGTTATTATCTTTGCTTTTGCTTTTGTTTATTCTTTGAAATTTGAGAGAAAAACCAGATCTTTATTCATTTTTAGTATTAAAGGGAAATGACTGTAGTGTAGGTAGAGGAAAAGAAAACTGTATTTAAAGCAAAGTCATTTTATGTACGTTCTATTTCATTTTGTATGTTAATTTATTTAATTTTACATTAATATTATTTGTTTTACTACTAGCTTTATCAATTAGATTAAATTTACTAAATGTGAGTGACTTCAATCACAAATTAAAACTTTCACAATAATCATGAAGAGTTTTACAATAAATGAATAAAAAATATTTTATTAAATAAGAAGATAATAAGATATAATAAATATAAGAAAATAAAATAAATAAGAATACTTTACAAAGTTGAAGAGTAGTGTTGCACTATCTTTTATAGAAAAGATTTTTATATATCCATTGGTCTGTCTTTTCTAACTTATAACGAGCTTGTATTTATATTTATTTTATTATATATTTTGATATATAAAATATATTAACTATATTAACTATATTAAACATATCTAATATATTGTTATGCTAGTTCTTTAGATCATGAGTAACTCACCTGTGATATTACAATTTAGCAGAAGGTTTCTTTCACATGAAAGAGTAAAATAAAGGTACGAGATAAAAGAAATAAAGATAAATAAGACAAATGGGATGTAATGTATGCAATTAATTATTTAATAAACAAAAGACTAGTACTGTCTCTGTTGATGTGTCTGTATTAAACAATTTATTTATCAAAAGAATTATTATAAGATAAGATGATTCTTATCCATTTACATTGACGAACTACTTCTATTTATATAAAAATACATACGTATAATGATAAACTAAATAAAGTAAAGAAAATAGATAAAATATATAAAATAATATAAATAAATAAAATAATAAAATAAATAAAATAATTTAAATAAAATTAAATGATAATTAGATTACTAAATTTGAAAAATAAGAAATGCAGATTATTTATCTATTTAATTTAGTAATACAAATACAAATCCTTTACTATTACATAAACTGATCATCCTTTTTAAACTTTATAGATCTTACATAACATTTTTAGGTGTAATAATATTAAACATATTAACTATATTAAACATGTTAAACATGTTTAATATATTTGATATTTTTGATATTTTATGCTTTGTTACAAATTTGTAGATCTATGATTGTTAAAATCAACATTTAGTCACAATATCAATCAATTAAATATCTTTATTAAAATAAGTTATATTTTTAATTTTTACATTTGATTAATATTATAAATATATGTAGATATCAATTAATTAAATATTTTTAATAAAATAAGTTATATTTTAGTATTTATATTTGATTGATATATTAATATATTAATTAAATAATCTTTACTAAATTAGCTAAATAAGCTGATTAACAATATGATTGATATTAATTAAATAATCTTTACTAAAATAATCTAAATAATTATATTTTAATATTTATTTGATTAATATTTTATGTATTTTTTTTTAAAATATGCATATACATATAAATAAAAATTTATTTTATATTAATAAATTTTATTATAAAGACATCATTTCTTAAAAAAATAAATTATACAAAATGTAAAATTAAATTATTTATTAGTAGATTCATTTTTTACATAAAATTAACATCTTATAAATTATAAATTTGAAATAAAAAATAAGGTATAAATCTAAAAAAACTTATTAAATTAGTTTCTTTTTTATTAAAATTATTTTTATTTTTGTTAAAAAAATAAATTTTACAATTTAATTGTAAAACAAATTATTAAATAAGATAATAATAATGAACTTGATACTATAGTAAAGACTAAAATCTTTTTAAAAATATATAGTTTAATTTAAAAAAATTTTAAAATAAAAAATAAAAAAATGAAATACATATATTATTTATGAATACATATTTATTTTTTATTTTATAAAAATATTTTATTTATTAATATTTTAAATATTATAATATAAAATATAAGTGTACTAGTAGAATTACAAAAATCTTTATCAGCATTTAAAAAATAAACATTCTGCTAAATTAGAAAAATTAGAAATAAAAAAAACAATAGATAAATATATTAATAAAAATACTATCTGTAAGTTTTATTTAAAAAAAAATTTATTTTATTTATTAAATATTAAAATTTATATAATTTATATATATTTTTTAGTTGTATTTTATAAATATATTTCTAAATAGATCATTTGTAATAATCAACCTTTTTTAGATTTTAAATCAAAAAATTTGCAAAATTTATTTTAGATATTAAATTCTAATATTAAAATACCTTTAGCTAATATTTATACAGATATAATAAATATTTTAATCAAAAATATATAAAAATATAAAATATTTTACAAATAATTATTTTTTTATTTTTATTTGTATATAAATTTAATATTAATATTTATTTTTATTTTAAAATATTTCTGATCATATATCATTTACAATTAATATTGTGAATGGGTAAATGTGATGCAGCTTATATGATGCAGAAGATTGACTAATTTGACATAAACGATATATATAATATGTCAGACATATGTGGCATAACTGACATATTAGACATAGTTGATATATTAGACATAGTTGATATAGTAGATATGTTAGTTATATCTCTCTATGTAATTTATTTTATATAAATAGATAGCTTTTTAGTTCATATAAAAAATAGACAGATAGGAACTCGATAAGTTAGTTTAGTAGTTTTTAGAGGTAACTGGCCTACTGCATTACATTTTTGTTTCAGTAATTCATTTCTTTTCTTTTTTGTTTTATTTTCTTATTTTCTTTTATTTCTTTCTTTTATTTTTATTATTTTACTCGTGAATTAACACATTATTTTACAATTATAAATCAATAGTAATCTGTTGAATTACTGCTTGTCGTAATAGTATAAACACTTTTGATAATCAGTCTGAAATAAAACTCATTAACCATTGAAAAATTACTGCTTAATTAAAAAGAATAAACCACTTGAACACCCTGTTTAACAGCCATAGTTCGCAAGAATTACACATTAACAATACAATTAGAATGATAAAATTCTAATACTGTAAAATATATATAATTGATATTTATCTTGCGATACATAAGATATATCAAAGTTTAATCACTAATATATTTTAAAAATGAGAATTTGATATTTTAAATTTGTGAATGATACTGACTCTGTTTCTTTTATCAAGATCCAGAATTTTGCAGATTTTTTAATAAGGTTTTAATATAATTTCACTAAATTTTACTTTTTTTTATTAGACGATCTACAAAACCTCTAAGTTTCATTTAGCAACCTTATGTATACCACTAAATCATTATTGATTATTTCTTGTAAAGCTGATGTTTGTTTTTCATTATTTTTAGATGTTAGTAACTCTTTTTTGATTATAGATTTAGCATTTTTTTTAGTTTAAATAGTAAAGATAATAAACATTTTTTTTTAAAAAAAAAAAATTTTTATCTGCAAAACTTAAAATCAGAAAGTATAAGATATTAAACTTCTATATTTAAGTTTTAAACTTTGTATTTAAATTAAATTATCATATATTATTATAAGTTTAAAAATTTGTATATAGGGTTGGAAGAGAAAATTTCACATAAAAATTTTCACGTGAAATTTTCTCTTCCAGCCCTACACATTTTAATAAAAGAAAATACCAAATTTATTATCTGATTAACATTTATTATTTATATAGTTTGAAGTTTTTACATGTTAAATGTAGATTATAATCAAAAAATAAATCTATTTTATCTATTAATATTTATATGATATATTAAAAAAAAGTTTATTTTTTTTTTAATCAAGCCATTAATATATTAATCAAAAAAAAAAAACTCTTTTTTAACTAATTTATATCAATTAATTAAAGTTTGTAAATTATAGATATATTATTATTTTATAACTTAAAACTAACTAATTTTAATTTTTATATTACATAATTAACCAATATGTCAAAAAAAGTTTTTTATATATGTTTAAAAAGATACTAATAAAAAAAATCAGATCATTAATATCAAATCTACAAGAACTAGATATTATATAAAAGAATATGAAAAGTCATAAGTTTTAGATTCTACTTTGAGTTTTA